TTTCATCAATAATTATGGTGAACCTTCGATTTTGCTTAACTGCTTGGTCAACTCGTTGAACAATGTCGTCTGTAGCGACAGACTTGCGTCCTTGAGCCCCTTCATCATGCACACCAGTTTGGCCATCTTTAAACTTTCGACACCATTCACGAACAACGCCATCACTCATAAAGCTGTTTCCATACACTCGACTCATTCTTTGATGAATTTCCGCTGCACTGTTCCCTTCTGCCTGCAAGAAACGAATAACAGCTCGCAATTCACACTTGGCGGGAGAATCGATAGCGACAGCCATGTTTACGTGACTTCAACTCGACAGAAAATGGCGTGTTGAATACGCCAGGGACACAAAGCGTGTGAAGGGGGAGATGTGCAGTCGCCTACTAGCACACCAACTACCTGCCACATACATGGCCATCATACTGTGCAATCGGAGGTTGAAAAAAAACAACCTATGTAAAAACGTGTTGATGACATGGTTGTACAGAATATTTCTATTCCAGTGCCGTCTGTTGCCCAAAGATCTCGTATATACACATGTGATGATTTATGCAAACCAATGAGATAAAGCAATCCAATAAATGCTTTAATTTCAGCCTCATTATGTTCTTTTGCATCTCTTTCCTGTAAAAAACGCTCTCGAATCGATTCTATAAAACTGTTAGTCCAATGCACTAAATTCTTTATCATATCAGAAGATATAAGGAGGTTTCACGCATCCACAGGAGAAGTTACATTCTTTGAAACGGGTTGTATTTCCTGGGAGTTTTGATATATTATTTTTCGCAGAAATTCTAACATTAGCTTTGAATTTCTCTTTATTCCACTTCGTTATGTTATCTCTTCCGATAAAATAATTATCTTCACTTGAATCTGAAACATCGTTTTCAGAATCAGAATCAATTTCTGTTGAAGAATCATGATCACTACAATATTCTTCGTCATCTGGCTCTTCATTACCTGAAAAATCACTATCTTCCTCTATATTTTCTTCATTAGAAGAAACAGTGTCCAGTAAATTTTTCAAATACCGCCTTTCTTCGTCATAAGTGCAGTAACGCGCCATAACGAAAGAACGATTTAGATACACCTGCCTGTACTGAGAATAGTTACAGAAATGCTCGCTCTGGGTGTGAGATACCCAAGCCCCGCGATTTAAGTAGATCTATTTTTAGAATTCTTTCGCGGATTCTCCCCTTCCAAGGTTATGACCTTTGAGGCAGCTACACGAAGACTCGTCCATTTTTGAAAAAAGGTTGGGAAGAAAAAGTGTGAAAAAGGAGTCACTGGGTGTGAGACAACCAGCGCGATCAAACCCGGGTTAATATGATTTACAATCTGTCCATTTTAAAAGAGAAAAAAGGAATCTAGAGTGTTCAGTTTGTGAAACTGTGAGTTATACCCTAATAACTTTTGTCTTGAGATAGTTTCATTTTACTAGTTGAGATGTTGCATGTCCCCTTAAATCATTTTGTAACATTTTGCTTTCAGCATTTAATGATGTATCGAAGGAAAGTGAAATTTTGTGTTGTCTCTTCTGTTTGCAACTTGATGCAGTAAAAAGGACTCTTCAGTTTTTAAATGCTGCCATTCTTATGCAGTACCTTCTTGTAGATGTTGATCTATCACAGCTTTTATAAATATTCGGCTGTTGAAAATTTGTTTACAAAAAAAACTTAAATCTGGGCCACAGCGACTCGAACCGTTTTTTTGCTGCCTCAGAGTTATCCTGAAACAAGCCATAGCAAGCAAGCTGTACACCTGTTGTCTTGAAATTTTCTAAAAGTGATATGGTCTTCTAAGCTGTGATTGTCATCAGATTTATTAGAAATTCCCAAAACTTCTCTTGTCGTAAATTTCTTGTTGATTTGGACCTTGAATAAGTTTTTAAATTATTTTTAACTTGTATCAAATTCTCTGACATGAAATGCTGCTGATGCATTTCATGTGTTTTCTGTTCTGCCCACAGGACGACCTCAGTTTAGTTTCTACCGCTACTAAGGATTCAGAAATTTGGCAGACCCTTCTTGTTAAGCATCCATTATAATGCATCCACAAGCAATTTTTCTTTTTAAAATTGTTTGATGTCAGTACAATGTGTATGTATACACATATATATATTTAATGTTTTGAATAAGATTATTAACTTTCTTAATTAACAAGAAATGGAATAAAATAATAAACATTTGGACATTGATCAGTTTTACTAATAAATTTGTAAAGCAGAAGTAAAATATATTGCTTTCTTTTGGACAAGTAGTTTTAGTTTACATTCTTCCCCCTCCCATTAGAGCTGCATGTGGCGCACGAGCCAGGTTGTGTCCACCCTTTATATATTAAATAAGAAGGAAAGCAGTGACTTCTTTGGAACCAGTTCTCAGTTTTCATTTTTGACGCTGACAGGTTTGAGTCATTTATTTACCATCACATACAGTTTCATATGCAAGAATTAGAACATTTCTGCAATCTTGAAGTGTCACATTTTCATGTTAATGCTTTAAAAATAATTTTTATGTAATTTACTGGGAAAGTAAGTTTATGTAAAAAAAAATAGCTTTTTTTAGGATTTGAGGTTTGGACATTGCCTGAAATATACACTGGTGTGCAAAAATTAAGGACGAAGTCGAAAAATTAGCATATCAGCTGAACGAAGAGGCAGAGCGAACAGAAAGACCAATCAGGAGATTAAGGTTATGTACGGTAGCACATGCGCAGATATGCAGGTAGACGTAATGGGGGAGTGTCTAAGTAGTATAAAGCATGTTGTCGGTGTAAGATCAGTATTTCTACGAAGAGATTGCACACCGTATAGCAGTTAAAATCACACCCAGTTGCTGCCTCAGTGAGAAATGGCAAATAATCAATCTGTTAGACGACATCTGGATGCTTTTACCCGAGGTCGAATTATTGGGAAGTTGGAGGAAGGCCGCAGTGTGACAAGTGTGGCTGCAGAGTTCGGAATTGCTCACAGCATTGTTTCACGACTTTGGTGACTATTTCAAACTACAGGAACAGCTATCCGGTGGTTTAGTAGTGGTCGTCCAAGAGGAATCACACCCGCAGATGACCGGTATATTGCCTTACAGGCCAGCAGAAACAGGCGGCAGACAGCGGAAGAAATCGATAGACACACGACATAGACGACTGGATGACCGATATCGTATTTTACCGTGGCTAGAAGACTGCACGGTGGTGGTCTGTTTGCACGACGCCCTGTACGGTGTATACCTCTAACGCCTGCCCATCGGGGAAGGTGTTCTCTGTGATGCTGGGAACACCGGAATTGGAGAGACAATGAATGGGGACGAGTACTCTTTACAGATGAGAGCAGATTCAGTCTGAGTAGCGATTCTCATCGCATACTCATCTGGAGAGAGCGGGGAAGCCGCAATCATCCTTCGAACATCATTGAAAGGGACAGGTATGGAGGTGGCTTCTCGTTATGGGAAGCATCATGCTTGGTAGTCATACAGACCTTCACATCTTCGATGCAGGTTCAGTCAATGGGACCCGTTATTGTAACGAGATTCTTCTTCCATATGTGAGAGGCGCTATGGGTCCTCAGTTCCTTTTCATGGACGACAATGCACCATGTCATTGCACAGTAGCTGCCGAACAGCTCTTAGAGAGTGAGGATATTGAACGTATGGATTGGCCGGCACGATCTCCGGATCTCAATCCCATCGAGCATGTATGGGATTTCCTAGGCAGACACTTGGCAGCTCGTACCTTACCACCAGTAACGGTTCCGGAGCTTCGATTGGCGCTGCAAGACAAATGGGCAGCAATGCCTCAACAACTCATTGACACCCTCATTCTCAGCATGGGCAGACGCTGTGAAACCTGCCTAGCAGTCAGGGGAGATCATATCCCCTATTAAAGACCGGATGTTTCTTGCTGGACACCCATCGCAGGGATGTTTCGGCCTTCAGTCGCATTGCGCTCTGTAAAGATCGTGACTTTTAAGAGAACGTGAAATATAAATAATAGGACAAGAACTTGCATTTTACGGTGTGGCAACAAGAAGAGGATTCGGAAGATTTTTATATATTTTGTTTAGAGAGTTTAATTTTTTAGTATTTTAATAGTTGTAAGAGTTTAAAATTTTGATAGTTAAGAGCTGCAGCATTTATTTTTTTTATTTTATTTTTATTTTTATTTTATTTTTTTTGGGGGGGGTTCTGTTTTAAAATTCAAATAAAAGTATTTTGTTTTCATTCTGAAATTTAGCTTTGTTCTTCCTACGAGGTTCAATATCCGTTATATTGAAATAAGGAAAGGATTTTTCTTACATGCTACTTTTTCAATAAAGCTTCTTTTTATCCCTCTGATTTCTCTTTTAGTAAGTGTTGCTTACATTACTCATGTCCTTACGTATTGGGGATCTTACGGTACTAAATGTGTTGATTTGGAAAGCTTTTGTACAAAGTTATATTGAAAAAACCGTCTCGTCCTTAATTTTTGCACACCAGTGTACTCCATCAGCCAAGTGAACCTAAAATAAGTTAGAACTATTTGATTTTTCTTGCTTATTTTATAGGAGTTTGAATTATAGTTTTTAGCAAATATATTACTTTTAACTTCCTCTGTTATGGATAGGTTAAATGAATGTTGTATTTTGTAAGTGAAATATTTTTAAAAACATGTTCTTATCAAACTTAAAATTAGTATAATAAATTCATCATAAAAATTTTTCATGGTAATAGGGAAATTAACAGATTTATAATTTTACAATTAACTATAATTTAGTAACATGATATTTGAGGTTGCTTTTATGCTTTGTAAATCTGATATGCATTGTTAATGCAGACAAAAGGTATTAAGACCAGTTTGATGTAAATTACAGCATAAACGTATTGGGATATTTTGGCTTGATTGAACTTCCAGTAAGCAGCTCACTTAATTACCTTTATATTGAATTTTAACTTTTTTCGGTATATTATAAAATGGTGTTGAAAGATTTAAATATGATGTGCCTAACTGTTTCCTTTCCTCTTTAGGACAGTTTCCAACAGATGGCTGCATGCTGTATCTCAAGGACTGTGATGTTACGCTGGACCAGTCCCCCACGTTTGAAAATGCTGTGTGGACCCTTCTAATCATGGGAGATGGTTCACGCAGCTGCTTGGTTGCTGTAGCCTAGCCCCAGAACACTTCTGAAAGAAGCCTGTGGAACTATAGATGTGTTCTGGGTGACTGTTGATCCGTGTTTGGGCCAAACACTGACAGTCTTAACACAAAATCTTTCAAGTGTTTAGCCCAAACACTGACAGTCTTAACACCAAGGGCATTATGTGTTTGCTCCAAACACTGACAGTCTTAACATAAGGCACTGTTAGTGTTTGGACCAAACACTGACAGTCTTAACAGACTAATGCCTAAGTGTTCGGTCCAAACACTGACAGTCTTAACACAAAAGACTGTCAGTGTTTAGACCGAGCACTGACAGTCTTAACGGTCACCAGCTGTCAGTATCTTTCAATATACTGACAGTCTCAACACATCTATAATTCCATTACATCTACTCAGGAGTGTGATGGGGGTGTATTTCATGATACAGGATACTGACAGTCTTAACTAGATATGTATTGACATACTAGGCTACATACCAGGCTTTTCATTTTAAAATAAAAATAGTGTAAATGCTTTTTAAGCATTTTTCAAGTCTCTCCATTTATAGAAGATACTCTTTAAAAAAAAACTGGAAATGTGAGAGCAGCTTTGAATCTCAAATTTGTTAATCATTATGTTTTTATGATGAAATACAATTTAAAAGATTGTAAATAATAATAATAAAATTTTTTGTATAGCTTCCTTTTAAAATCATTTTCTGTAAATAAAGCTCTAAATCCATTTTATGTCAAATATGGAATATGAAAATTTCGTGTTGAATTCCATAGAATCTGTTAAAATTTCAGTAAAAAATTCTGCTTTTCATCTGCTGAAAACCACAGTATTTTATGCAGCAAAGTTTTTGAGAATTGAACTCTAGAGAATAATTAAAACTATTTTAAGCTTTTAATTACTTGTCTGTTGGAATAAAACGTTTATGATCAGTATTTATTTCATTTTCTCAAAATTAATGATTTCCTATATTTTATATACATGGAAAATATTCATATGTGCAATAATCAGTTCTGATAATTAAATTTTTAATCCAATAAATATGGCTAATGTGTTCAATCTTATTAAATATGGTTAACATATATGAAAAATTAGTAATTAGGGCAAGAATTAAAATTTGGCAATCTTTTGATAAGTCATGCTTATTACTTTTTAATTTCTTCTAGAACATGCAGCTTAAATATGCATATTTGAGAAATGCTGTGCAGTGTACATTTGTATTTTGAAAGAATTTCATCCATAGCTTATGTTACATCAGCACAGAACCTATGTAGAGTCAGTTTTTGTATATCTGTGTTATGTAGACTAGTTTTATCTGATTATGGCAAAGCCTGCAAGAGCCATTTGTTTAGGAAAATGGAGGACTTTCTAAGGGAAACTAGCTTGTATCCACATTACATGTGTGAAAATCATGAAAATGCCCATGTAGACATCCTGTTTGCTTGGAATTGAACACAGGTCAATCAACCAGCATTCAGCAACTTTTATCACTGAAACTGCCCGTGGAACTGCTTTGCAAACAAAAACATACTCGTAAAGTACTTATTGGAAGAGCAACAATATATATAAATAAACAGTATACTGTAACATAATACTAAAAATAAAACTCATTTCTTTTAATTTACTAATATGCCATCAATGCCAATATTTCATTTATGCATGAATAATTTTGGATGATAGTATTATCACGATTTTGGATATATGAATGAAGAACATTTTTCTTTAAGAAGTGGGAAGTTCTTGGGAGGAGTAGATAAGTAAGCAAATTTAATTAATTATGAAAGAAATTGAGATGTTCATATATATTGGGAATAAAATTGAAATGGCTTTTATATACTGAAATTCAGCTTTCTTGGAATTTGAGCATAAGGAATGCTTTTCGCCCCATCTGAATCAAATCAGTAAAACCTCCATTTAACCTGAAGACCTGCTGCGCAATCTAAATATTAAATTATGTTAATTGAACCAGAAGTATCTACTTAAAGGAGATGGATCCTTTATAGAGCACTATCTAAAGGAGAGTAACTTACACATGTATGTTTACAGAGTTGTGGAAAGAGAAGAGTAATTATACATTGTTGAAAAAGATTTTTCGATTGAATAATTGAATTGATAACACCAAGATTAAAGAGAGAAAAAAGCTCGCATTTAAAACTTGTAAAATAATTAATGAACTAAACGGTTAGGTTATTTGAATATCACAAAGCCGTGAGGGCTATCTACGTAGAAGAAAGGATGCCTCCGTGAAGACTGAGGGAATAGCTTTATACCCGTGTTACACATGGCAAAATCAAAGTATATCTATAACCACTCAGCCACTGGTAGGACAATGAACTGAAAGTAGAAAATAATTTATTGCATAGTATGGTTGCATCAAGAGATTGAATAATTTTTTTTACAAAATTATCCATAATATTATATTGCAAATAGATGGGCATGGAATCTTAATGGCAGATGCAAAAGTGTAAGCCATTATTATTATTTTTTTTTAATCAAGGGTGCTTCATACACTAATTGTTCATGACAAAATTGTAGATGAATTGTGTAAAGAGAATTATATAATCTCTTATCACTTTTGCATAAATTTTAATTGTTTTCAATTTAATACTTGTTAATGTTATGCTATGAAATTTACTCCTTGTGTAAATCCACAGCTAACAGTTTTGAAGCAAAGGTTATTAACTGCGATAACTTCTGTTGCATTATGACCAGTGCTTTTGTTCCACTTAAACATTGATTTATTTCGTCTGCTGCAGAGATGGTATGTGGAAGAGTCGACTTGCACAGGTCAAGAGTATGATTCATGTAAAGTTTACTGTATCATAAATGAGAAATTACATTGCACTGAGATAAAGGTAAAATTTATGTTTTAACATGGAGGATGATATCTGAGGGTCGCCTATTTACATAATGCCCATTACTTTGTCTTTGATGGTACTGCACAGGCATCTGTGGCTACAGTGGTGCATTGTAAATAGCATTATTGCAAGGTGAATCCTACCTCTAAGTAACATCATTACGATCTTGCCATATACACTGTTAGGTTGACCAAGTGCTGGGAAATTAGGGTATGGTGGGTACGAGTTCTCTTTGGTATTCATATTTGAAGTCAGTTTATTAGACATGTTACCTGTAATAGTCCTATATTTTCATGTACTTTTTCTATAGACACTATCTAACTGAACACAGGGTTGCCTCGCTATGGGGAATTCGAAAATTGAAAAAAAAAAAAAAAAAAAAAAAGTCAGGGAATTTAAATATTTTAGTCAAAATCTGGAAAAGTCGGGGGGAATTGCGGTCACTTTCTTGGCAAATCGTATCGTGTGAGCATCATTCGGGCAGCTGATCGGACATAGAGCCGGTTTTCTCAGCGCCAAACACTTTCTCTTTCAGAAAAGCAAATACGTTTTCAGCAACTACTAAGAATCCAGAGATTAGCAGGTGCATGTTGAACGAAAGTAACTTGTCCACATCCTTGTATAAAATAAAAATCTTTTAAACCCTTTCTTAAATGCCTTATTTGTCATTTTGCAATAAAATAAATAAAAAGTCATGTAGACACCATTTGATATCTATTCGCCAAAATATTGTCGTTTTTTGTAATTCAGTTTTTAATCCTTAAGTAATGAATGTTAATGTTATTTGTGTAGAATTTGACTTGATTCACAGCATGAGAGCACGAAGTAATATTTAAATGGTTTATTTAATAGAAAGAAATAAAAGTATATAAAGATGAAGTTAACGGTATGCGGGGTTAACATAATGATGCACCAACAGTCCTTTTATAAACTCTTGAAGACGTGTGAGCCGTCTGCTCACGTCTGCCCTCCACTCTCGACCAGGTCTCAGCGCTGTCTGGGATGATTCTTACTGCGCTGGGCTGTGATGGGTATACTGATGACGTCATAACGGGCAATTCTCATTCAGCATTGGACGGTATGATTTCCACAGCTTCGGCCAGCCTGAAGAGGCATCGTCCTTGATGTCTGTTGAATAGACATCACTATCATGTACCTGCAAAGATAATAAAAAAAAAAGAAAAAGAAAAAAGAGTATCAGGTCCTTAGGTTTTGAGCTGATACACACATCAAATCAATTTGACCATGGCTTCATATGGTCAGCCGCAGTAGATGTCAAATTTGGTCCTTCATGGCATCCTACTTTCTCGACTTCATATCTGTCATTTAATCTTACAGCTATGATTTTATATGGTCCATGAAAATTTAGATCGTAGTTTCAAACCAGTCCCATATTGAGTTCTCTGAATGGCTACCAAGTCGCCAATCTTGTATAGTTTCGGTTTCTTACGTTTTCTTGTTAAATTGTTTACGATTCTCTTCTTGTATCTTCAAAATGTTGTTTTTTTTTCGCATCTTCTCTCATTTCATCACGTTCTTCTTGCATCAACTGCTTTAGATATTCTTCATTCAATATCTCACTAATTCTCAAGATCTTTCTTTATTCTTCATTTTCGTGCCTATGAGAAGCTCAAACGGTGAATATTTTGTACTTCTCGTAGTTGTACTGTTGATTATTCTCTGAACATCTGAAACATATTTAAACCATTTCGTTGAATCTTCATGTGATAATTTTGACAAAACAGGAATCAAAATTCTATGAATTCGCTCAATTTGTCCGTTACCTCTTGGAATACCGGTAGTAATTTTGACATGTTCTATTCCTTCTTCAGTACAATAAGCTAAAAATTCTTTCGATGTAAAGGCACTACCTCGATCTGAAATGATTCTGGCTGGATTTCCAAATACAGTCTGTTGTTGCTTCAATTTTGAAATAACTTCTTGCGTAGTTGGTGATTTCACTGGATAGAACCAAGTAAATTTCGTAAAAGCGTCGACAACAGTTAGAATGTGTTGATATCTCTTGTTCGTCGATGGAAGAGGTCCAATAAAGTCGATATGATACGTACTCAAAGGAACGTTTTCTTTTGGTACAGGATGAAGAAATCCTCCTTTCTGCTTTTCCTTGCTTCTTGTTGTACAGTATACATTCTATACAGTTAGCAATTACTTTTTCAACTTTGCATTTCAGTCTGGGAATATAGAATTCTTGCTCTACAGCATTCACAGTTTTATCTACAGCAAAGTGACCTTTTTTATGTACCTTCTGTATGATTTCGTTCTGTAAGGATTCTGGCACTACTAGAAGATCTTTACCATTTTCAAATTTGTACAAAATATCATTTCTCACGAAGAATCCATTTTCTTCTCCCTTCTCAACTAAATTCTTGATTAATTTCACATGTTCATCTTCATTCTGTTGTTGTACTAACCGAATCTTCTCAGTTACATCGGATGTGTATGATGTGTTAAAATTAAAGCATTTCTACTTAAAGCATCAGCATGTTTCATTTGGCTTCCTGAACGATGTACAATTTCGTAATCGAATTCTTCAATAAACATTGCCCATCTTGCAATTTTAGGAGTTAAATCTTTCTTATCTAAAGTTTTCTGAAAAGCGCTACAATCAGTTACAATTTTGAATTTAGTCCCTAACAAATAGTTTCGAAATTTCTTCAGAGCTTCTATTACTGCAAGGGCTTCTAATTCGTAACTACAGAGTTTCTCTTGCTGCGGTGAAGTCTTCTTACTCATATACTGGATTGGGTGATAATTACCATCATCAGACAATTGGAGTAATACCGCACCAAAGCCTTGACTACTAGCATCAGTATGAAGTTCTAATGGATATCCTTGCCTAAATATGTGTAGAACAGGTGCCTGAGAGAAAAAGCTTCCTGCTGTTCGGAATCGAACTTAAAACCAATACCTTTTCTAAGCAAGTCGCTAAGAGGTTTAGCTATTTTAGCATACTGAGGAATGAATTTACGAAAATATCCCGTTAGTCCTAAAAAGCTTTGTAGTTGTTTACAGTTACGCGGTTGTGGAAAGTTTTCGAACAGCAACAGTTTTGGAAG